GGCCAGCGGGTGGGATGGGGCAGGGCCGCTCCTCCCCCACGGCCACTCCCCAAAGCCCCCCAGGCAGCCCGTGTCTGCACAGACCCGCTGGGGTACAGGTCGCCATGCACGCAGCCTGTCCCGTCGTCCAGAAGTGCCAACTCCACAGCCCGTGCCTGGGTGGGGGCCGAGCCCTGCCAGGCTGCAGACCACACACCCTGGTCCTCGCCAGTGGGGAGGGGGGGCTCCAGGCCACTCATGACCACCACGGGCTCCACCCTCTCACAGTAGCTGGGGGTGGGTTTCGACAAGTGGATGACAAATGCCGGGTCCGGTGCTGTCCGTGGTGGATGGCGTCAAGGGCGTATGGGAACAGAGTACCTCGCGACCGCTGAGGAATGTCCCGGCGCTGATGCAGACACACATTCCCAGTGCCCAGGCCCCGGGGCCCCGAGTGCTGCTGATGTGACGGTGTCAGTGGCCACTGCTGGCTGCTGGGCTCCTCTCAAAGAGTCACTGTGGGAGCCACGCAAGACTCTGAAGTCGCTTTCAAGCCATCCCGGACAAGAGGCCAGGGCCAGGGCCTGAGCCCACGACCAGGATACCGTGGGGACCCCAGTGCCCCTTGCTGCCAGGCCAGGCCCTTCCCAGAGGGCCACAAACAGCCAGGACTCTGTGAGCCTGCGATCCCTCGACACTCTCCCGAAAGGCACCAGTCGCCAACTGGGCTCAGGGTACCAGTCACACACCTGGAAACAGAGTGACCAGTGCCAGCTGCGGCCAGCCTGTGCAGGGACTCTGAGGGAGGCAGGACCGTGGCATCCCATCAGGCTGCCAGGTCGGCAGGGGCCGCACACACCCACAAAGCTCAGATGGCGGCCCCTGGCCACGCCCAGCACACAGACTCCGTGGAGGCAGAGAGGCCCGGGGTCCAGGGTCAGCGAGGCCGGCCTGCACAACAGCCAGGGCGACCTCTTCCAGCCTGGTCGCAGGCCAGAGGAGCCACTGTCACCGGCTCACTCCGAACAAGCTGAAACACCCATCCCTTGCCACACACAGCGACGCACCCGAAGGCGACACTCGCCATCACACTGCAAGACAGACAACACTACGGCACGCCGCGTCTCAACAGACAACACGATCCATGGCCTCGGCGTCTCGAAACACAGCCACACACCTCACTCCCTCACACCCAGAACCTGACACCCAACAAAACACCGCAGTCTGCGCGCTCGTCACCGCTCGCCCCCACCCACTCTGCTCTCAGCTCTGCCCACCCCTCGGCCCACTCACGCCATCTCCACTCACACTCCCGCCGGCTCCGCCCGCATCCCTGCTCTCTCCCACCCCGCCACGCCCTCCCTGCTCGCTCCCACCCACT